GAGGGGGGCTGTGTGGTGTCTTCCCCCTCAGCAGCCGGGGCAGTGCCCTGCGGTGGGAGACCCGTTCCCCCCGGGCGTTGCTACCTCTCGCAGTGCGTCCCTTCTTGGGGAGGGGGTGAGGGGCATCCTCGCCTGGACCCCTTAGGGAGAGGGGCTCCCCCGACCCCGGTGTGCCGTCCTCTCACCCTGTAGCAGTTGTTCGGGCTCAGGAGCACTGACTCCCGTGCAGGATCCCTTCCCCTCGGGTGCACCCGCAGGCAGGAAGCCCCATCAGGCCCGGGGGGAGCAGCTGTGAGGCTAGCCTGGCTGGCAGGAGGCACAGAGGCTGGAGAACTGCTCATGGCACAGCCGTGGCATCTCTGCTCGCCTGCTTCTCAGAGGCCATGTTGTGCATCTGTAACCGTGGCTATCCATCCGGGCTTCCATTGTCACGGTCCTTTCTCCCTCTCACCTGAGCTGTGCCTTTGGGCACCTGCACGGGGTCTCACCCTGCAGTGCAGTGGACTGGAGACATGCCAGGGAGCGAGGCAGCAGTGCGAGCTGTCACGGCGCTGCACGAGTTGTAAGGGTGTTGCACAAGCAACACTTTCCGGGACAAGTGCTGGGATGACGGGGCAAATTGCCTTCACACAGAAGGGCCAAGGGGTCCTGCAGGGTATGGAAAGTGGACCCCATATCTCCTGCTCAGCAGTGTCTTCCCTTTGCTGGGATGGTTGCTAGTTGTCGCAAGGACGCACATTTTCCCCCACAGTCAGTATGTTAGTGTAGCAGTAGCAGATTTGGTGCTGCCAGTCCTTCTGGAAGTCTCTTGGTTGAGCCTCAACCTCCTTGGCTTGGCTGCCTACACCGGTATTTGTGGTCCAGTTGGCCACTGCTGTACTGGTGGCTTTCAGAAAGTACAGAGAAGAGGATCCAGTCACTATTCAGCTGCCTGCAGGGCAATCCCGAGTGTGTGTGCGCACGCGCTTGCTGTGGTGCCATTCCCTGTTTGGTGAGAGGTCAGCAGAGGTGCCTGTTACTGGTTATAGTGGTAAGAGGTCAGCAGAGGTGCCTTTTACTGGTTGTAGGGGAGCTGAAAGTACAGTGTGGGAGCTGAGGGCTCATGCTTGAGGGGGGTGGTGCAAATGCAGGAACGTGAGGTGGCTGGCATGGCCGAGGAAGATGCTATTATGGCTCATGACTAGACAGCGCTGCAGGTCTTTTCCAGTCAGCAGTCTGTGCTTGTTCAGAGCCTAAAAAGATACACGTTTGTGCTGGGGGGGACCCTGGTTGTGGTGTAGAAGAAAGTGAGCTTAAATCTTCTTTTGAGCCTTTTCTGAAGTGCATCTCCAGTAGTGCAAAATCCTGCACAGCCGACATGTGCCAGTAGGCAGAGGAAGTGCCGCGTTTCAGACCTCTGCAGCAGTGTCTGGTGACGGAGCAGGGTTTGATTGTGTAGTCCCAGTCGAATATAGTTGCCCTGAACGACAACACCGTGTGGTGCCCAGTAAAGCGGGTTAGACCTGCCTACCCTCCCTGCCAGACGTGTGGCTGGGTCTCCTGTGTGGCGGTGGGTTGGGGGCAGGGAGCTCTGCCCCACTTCTTCTGCCTCTGCCCTGGCTGCTGGATTTTTGGCTCTGAGGATACTGCACTTGTCTGCTATTCTTCCCTGGATAAATGTGGGAGGCAGTGGTGCTGGGGGTTGTGAATAATGGTGATGGTAGGAGGGGTTTGTTCCAGTCTGGACTGGTCCAGTCTAGTTCTTTCCTTCCTGTCACCGTGTGAACAATGCTGCTGCCGCCGTGGCTGATGCTTGTGACACGGCAGCCCCCTCCCCGTGTGCTTCAGGCTGTGGTGAGCTCCCTTCCCCGCCTGCCCTAGGCTGAGCCCCCCGCAGCCAGCCAGCCTGCTGCTCCCCCCCCATCCCTCCTGCTGGGCCTTGAGCTCTGGGGGAGGGTTGTTAAACCCCAGAAAGAGGGGTCTTTACAAGACTTTGGGAGGGGAAGGATGTTGTTTGGCAATGAACAGCAATGAGAATGTTTCTCCAGTGGGGACAATTTATTGGAGGCAAGAGGCAGGCTTACCCCAGGCAAGCAGCTTGTGCTTCTTGCTGCTCGCTGTGCTGGAAGGCCGGTGCAGGTGTGTGTTTGCAGCAGTGTTGGGCTGTATGGTCTGGAAATGATTCCATCTCTCCAATTAAAGAAGAGACAGAGTGCTCTGGAAGGGAATTAAGACTGTCCCTTCCTGAAAGAGAGGCTTAATTGCGTAATGGACTAATTCGGGTATAATGGCAAATTTCAGTTCAAAATGCTGTTGATGTAGAGCAGGAGCAAGAGTATGGTTGACAGGAGAATTTGAGACCTGTGCTCGCTTCAGGACCTGCTGTCCCCTGGGGACCGCCTTGCCACAACGCCCTGGCCCTGATCTGGAAAAGGCCTATTGTAACAGAAGAATAGCTATGCTTTTTGTGGATGAGAGTAACTTCGGTGCCTCCAAGTCTGTCAGTTGGTATAAATATGTGAGGTCATTATATTAGTGGATTTTTAGGGTTTGCTTAATGGATATTTTAACTAGGTCACTAAAGGGTCTCTTTTCAGAAATTGAGAGATGCAGTGGATCACTTTTTTCAAAGAAAATGAATCAGTGCCTGGTTTTGTACCCAATGTGGGGGCCTGAGGGGGCCGGTGAGTTGGAAAGGGGCTGGCCCTGACTGATCTGCTGGTGCTTGTAGGGCTTCCTGCAGGGATGCAGTTGTTCTGGCAAAACTATGCGCTGTGAACTAGGGGTTATTTTGTTCCTCAGATGAGTATTACTATTCGAGTACGGAGTTCAGAATTGCTGGTCAAGCTGCAGTCAAACTTGAGGCACCTGCTAGTAGAGTATACTAACAGATAGAAATACATGCATATAGGTGTCACTTGAATGTTAAAAGGCGAAGCTGCTTTGTTGACAGTTGTTGCAACTCAAAGCTCACTGTTTAGCAAATAATGCTTTTATACCTACTTTAAGACCCATAAACAATGAATGCTTTGTTGTTGCTGATCACATGCAATTTTTCTAAAACTGGGTTTGTCCGTATGGGTTATGGACGTCTAATGCACTTCTGCTTAAAATGGTAGTCCTGCTCTGCCACAGTGCAGCAAACTAACTCTTTGTGCTGGTTAAAGCAGAGTAAAATTACTATGATTTGAAAGGCTCAAATCATATCTTTTTCATCTCTGAATATTTAATATCAGCAAACCTGCACAAAAGAGGGCAGTCAGACTATTTTCTATACATTTGTGTAGATCTTTCAGATAAATAATTCTCACTTAAAAGAAATTCTGAAGGGCAATTAGAACTTGGTGCAGCTCAGAGTTGACTTGCTACAGAAAATGATTGGTTTTCATTCCAGCTTCATGGGAACTTTCACTGCACACTTCCTTCTTGGGATGTGTGAGAATATTTATTGGAATAGTTTTGCAGGTGATATTTGTCTGAAGCATGGTGCTTTAAGTTTTAAACTAAAGGTCATGTGTTCTCCCTCCAAGCACCTGTTTTTGACAGTTTGTTTTGCTGGGAAGGTAATTTTAATTCATTACCACTGGAAAATTTGTATGAGTTCTTAAGTATAATCAGAACAGCACTAGAAAACAGTGGAGCTACTAGTTAATTTTACAAAAGCAAAATGCTGCCAGCTTTTAAAACTGGTGTGTGCATACTCTGAGAACAAAATGTTACTGGCTTTTTGCTTTAGTGAAAGAAAGGGATAAGATAAAATACACTGCATATACGTTAATTCTATCTGGCAAAATTCCTTAATATTTCAATTAATTTTGAAGCACTGAGGTTTATTTTTAATATATTAAGCTACTGAATGCTAATTTATATGGTAAAGCTGATGAGATTGCTCTGTGGAGTTGCTGTGAAACGGTTACTCTCAAGTTGCATTTGCTCTGTTTGTAATTCAGTACTTCATAGAGTATGCTAGTTTAGTTTTCTGATAGCAAGAATAAGTGGGAAAATACACTTCAGCAGTTTGCTTAACTGTAATGTGGTTGAAAAGACAATCATTTGGGTTGGGTGATTCCCGGAAGCTAGGTTTTTGTAGTCAGCACATGTAGTCTCATTTAAATAATGAGAACAGCAAAAATTTATTTTTACAATAGGTTGGTACATTCCGTGTTTCATGCCATAGACCACAGTGAATTTGTAGAAACTTTATAGTATGTTGGGTTTACACATGACCAGTTCTGTACCCTGTTTAATTCCATGAAAATGACGGTTCCTTTTAGAAGGAGTAACAACTTAGCAGGGCCGGTTAATGTTTTCTTGACTGCTTTTTATGTTCGTTGTACTGTTTTGTGTGATTGTTTCACCTTAATTTGAGTAAGCTAGCCTTGTACTTTAAAATGCTGCTTTGGTGTTGTGTGTAATAGCCTTTAAGGGCCAGCTGAAACTTTCCCTCATTCCCGAAGGCAAGCATAAGTTTCTTTCTTTTTACTGTCTCGCTCATCTCTGGATTTGTCTGTATGGTGTTCAGTTTCACTATATAAAGCACTATTTTTCACCCACATGCTGTGTTCATTCACAGCAGAGGAAGGAGGAACATGGCAAGGCAATTCTAAAATAGAAGGGAAGTGGGGAGGGGAAGAATCACAGTGGTTACAGGGTTAAAAACACTTCTGGGAGGGTAGTCCAGTATTAAGGTGTACTATCCTAAAGCAGGATCACATAGAGCTCATTGCCTTTAGTTTTGAAAATCTTCCAGTTCAGACTATAAAAGATAAGTACAAACAAGCAGTTTTTCATGTGCTTAATTCATATGTTTTAGCAGTTCTTCATGCAGTTGACATGATCTGGCTCAGAGTTTACCTTCACTCTTGAAAACTGGGCATTTTATGTGATTATAAACTTTCATGGTGGGGTACAGCAAGCCTCCTTAAAAGCACGACTGAAAAGGCATTTGTTACATGTTTTAAGATAAAGCTTTTTATTTTGTTCTGGCTATGAAATTCATTTCTGTACACATTTTCTCCCACAGGGCAAAATCTCTGATCAAGTTTACAACTATCCAGAGGGCTTAGGAGAAGTGCTTTATAGAGAACAGTTCGACTTCAACGCTGAGCCACCTTGGGAACCTAGCTGATGATAGTAGGGTTCCATCTCCTAACTTGTCCATGTAAGTCTCTCTGCCTTCTCTCTTCATTTGTATGCATGAGCATAAGCACTTCCAAAATTGCAAACAGCTTTTTAGATAATCAAGAGAACTGCCTTGATAAAGATTATCAACATTTGAAAATAGTGGTTTGTACGTTATATGGGGCTTTCATTCAAGGGAGGACTGTAATTTTTACTCACCTAATACTTTTCTTTCAGAAATTCATCAGATAACTGTTGAAATTTAAACATGTGTGAGTAAACTTTGTAAATAGTTACTTTTCTGAATTAGGGCTGTTAGCTGCAGAAATCCTAAAATAAAATGCTGTAACTTCAGTCTCTCAGTAGTAATTCTGAAGTCATGAATTGACACTGCATGACTGTTAACATCAAACTATGATTTTTGAGTACTGTGTGATTTCTTAGGATATTTTATACTGAAATAGTTAAAATTTGCTATTGTAAACAGTTACTAATGCTGATCATGAAGGGTGTGCCTTCCCAAATGCCTGTCTCCATTATTTGCTAATTACTGTCCACTTCCACAAATAGTTGTAGTTGAGCTACAGTAGAACGTGGAATTGTGTTTTGCATGGAAATCATGTACCAATTACAAATGTCTTTAAATTTTTAAGGGGCAAATGGTTATTAAAGAAAAACAAAACCCATGATAACGGAAAACAAATAAATGCATATAGCTGATCTTAAGGAGCACAGAAAACTCTGGAATGTGTGTGGTTATCCTGTTCTGTTAACATAAAACAATAGCTTTATGTGGTTTTAACAGTAGCTTTAAATGCATTTGTAATATCTGAGTTAAGCTGATTTTATACAGTATTACTTTTTTCCTGTCTAGCTGAAGGCATTTTTGTTTGGCTTAGTGCCTATAAATTATATAATGCTTTTGAATGTAAAACTTGAGAATGAGAATGGTTAAGTGCATCTAACTGAGCCAGGTACTCTTTAAAGACCGCAAAGAGGCCAAATGCCAGTTGTGTTTGTATGTCTCCTAATAAGGTACTTAATGGAGATTTGAAAATACTGCAGTAAGGGAAGCACAGGGTGAGCTTGGTTTATCATGATTTCTGGCTTTATCTCCAGAGGTTATGTTCTTTTTGTTTTGTTTTGTTTGAAACTTACTGAATTAACTGCATACATTTGGTTCTATGTAGATGACTGCTTTATTCAAGTGAATCCAGTTAACAATGAAAATTCTCCAAATATCACTGTTATTTTGTAGGTGTCACATGATTTTTATAAGCAAAAGATTCAAGAAAATTGTTTCTCTTGTTCAGTTTCTGAGTTTTGGCTCACTCTTGTACGTACGTGGGTAGAAATGTTGTGTGACATTTTGCACTTCAACTTTTTGCCCTTTAACAGGAATAAAGTAGTAAAAACATAGGAAATGCAGAAGAATTGTTAGGAGGAAAGACTGAATAAAGTATAAAATCTTAAGGTACTAGAAATGCATTTTAATTTCTAAAACTGTTCTGAAGGAAATTTGGCTTTGACCAAAGTTTTTTTTTTTCTCTTTGAGGAGAAGGCTGTTCTGGTGCCCTCATTGAGACTATTCTTTCTCTAACTGGTAGACCAATGTGCTGTGGCAAATAGAGCAAGGTATAGCTTGTCCTAGAATGGAAATGCCAGTGGATCTGCTGTATCTGAATATTCAGATGATCTGTGTGTTTATTTTGAGCTTGGACCTATTATGTCTTCAATAATAACATATTGTACACAAATATAAGTGGTTCAGTATCAAATGTAGTGGTGATGTAGGTAGCAGTAGTTGGCAAGTGTTTGCCAGTAAATCCGTACGTGTTTTTAGCACAGCTAATAGCTTCAAACACAGCTAAGATGTAAGTTAGCCAGCTAATTGGTAGCTTGAGTCTTGTTCAAGTTGTAAAGTGATTTAATGGGAAAAAGGTCAATTGAGCTTTTAAATATAATTATTATGTTCCAGTGGAACTCAAATAAAAATCTTCTATCTGAAGGTGTACTTACATTCCCATTAAACTTGCTTCCTTTTTATAATTTTCTCCCTCCCACTTTTGTCCTTGTATTATACTGGCCAGGGAAGAGCTTGGGATTTGGTTCTGTCTTGCTCTTCAAGCTCTGACTTCCTGAGCACTCTGGCAACTGTGGTCTGAAGTCTTGCTCCTTTGAAAATCTGTTCTATTTATTGCCACATCTGATTGATGGGAAACAGAGAATTAGTGATGGAAATCTGATCTATTAATGAGCCCTGTCTATGCCAAGTGGAAGCAGCAGTTATCAAGACTGGCTCGCCTTTAAAGCTCTCTTGACTTTCTCTAAATGGGACTGGATGGTGATGATGGCACAGGAGGACTGGGAGCTTGGAGGGCTGGTGGGCAATGAGGAGGCTAAATATTAACATTGGCTAAGCAAGTAAGAAGATAAGATAGGGAAGTAACTGCTTGCACTGTGATGAAAGAGAAGTGCTGGTATGGTACCACAGAAGTATACATGTACTTACAAGTGTAGTCATTTTTATAAGCTTTGCTAACTTACTGGCTTGGAATAACATATTCAAATTGCAAGAAAACATGAAATTCTTGAAAGCATGGTTCCCGTAGATGATGTCAGATGAGGCATTTTTTTTAGTATCTACCCCCTTTGCTTGCTTACTTCAGCAGAGATGGTCTTGTTACATTGCTAACTTAACTGTGTGGAATACTTCCAAGAGAAAGGTGGGATGGAACTAACCTGAGCTGTCCAGGTACTCTGCTATGACCCTCTGGATTTGTACAGAGAGGCAGCTTGGCTAATGCACAGTGTCCTCTGCTATTGTAAATAAAGTCGCTTGCTTCTGCATTTCCATCGATTGGTGGCTGCATTCAGCTAACTGAATGATAAGGATGTAAGGTGGTGAAATGGCATCTTGGAATATTTTTTTTAAAAGGTACTCCCATTAAAAATAGGCATTTCCTGTGCTGAAAACAGAGGACTTGTGTTTCTACTTTTCTAGTACACCTTTCTGTACTTAGTTACCAATGTTAGTGACAAAATGCTTCTACTTTTTTGATCTGTTAGCCCCAAAGAACTAGTATTGTAAGGAATGTGAGATGAGTGTGGTTTACCTCTTCGTGATTTTTTGCATCTGCATAATTGGTAATCTCATAAATATTTATTTTGCTTAATAAAACATCTAGTTGAAAGGCGCTATTGGGAGACTTTGTTCTTTGCAGAGGAAGTTTTTCATGAAAGAACCAAACTTCAAGGTGGCTTTTTTTTTTCAGGCCAAACAATATGCAGTTCTGACAATGTAAAGAAAAAAATAAAAGTTTGTTATGGATGCTTGTGTATGACCAGCATGTGTTTTATTTAGTCACTTCTCAGAGCATTTGAATTTCTATTCCAGATGTCCGCATTAATTGCGGTATTTAAATATGTAAACTTTAAGATAAAAGTTCCTCATCTGGGAAGTGATTGTGTTACATCCTCAGGCTCTTTAGGGTTTAACTTACTTCAAAGAAAGCAATTGCATGCCTATGTAGAAGTTTCATACCACTTGACAGCTTTTGTTTGCCCTAAAATACATGTCCTGGAGCATTGTGCAGACTTAACATTTCAGGTGGTAAAATGGGTGGTGTTACCACACTAAGTCTGTCAAATTATGACTTGTAGCAAGTCAGCACTTCCAGCAAGGACTGAACTCTGTACTGTAATGATTTCTGACTTGTCTTACAGACATTGAAGAGGTCTTAAACCATCTTCTTGACTTCCTTCTACATGTGTTCATTTGATCTCTCATGAATTTTATCATTGATTCTCCTCTCCCCTCAGAAGGGGGGCCAGTCAGAACAGGGTGAGGTTATAGCACAATCCCAAATCCTCCTGCAGATATTAACCCCTTAAAGAAACATTTCTCAAGTGTGCGCTGTTTTGTGGTGGTGCTGTAGCAGTGCTGGTAGGAATTTCAGTTTTCTTTGTAGAATATTCTTCCTATCTTCTCAACAAGACTGAAGAGAGGTAATTTCTTCCAGAACAGGAGAAACAGGAGAGGAGAGGAACGCGCTGTAACCCTGAGGACAGAAGTTGGTAGACTAATGCTAACTTTTTTACTAGATAAATTTTGCTAAAATAAGCCTAGATGTCACAGACATGCTTAAAAAAACAATTGCTGTTTAGCAATTTGGGAGAGGTTGTACTAGGTTGTTTATGGTTTGTTGCAAGCTATTTTATTAATTCTGTACTAGCATGGATTACTTTTCATCCCTGCCTCTTGAACCATAAGATTCTTTCAGATGAATGCAGTACAAGAGGTCTGCTTTAGGAAATGACCTTCATAGAAGCTAACTTACCAGATAAGTGTTGTTTTTGTTGTTGGTTTTGGGGAGTTAGTGGTAAAGAGCCTCCTCCCCCCATGCTTTACTTAAACCTGTTCTCCCCCTCCTCCCCACAGGACCTCCCCAAAAGTAAAAGGGCAGCTTTTGGAGGAATTCTTCTACCCCATCTATCTCAAAGTTAGAGACACCACAGTCATTAAATATGAAAAAAACGTTCTTCTAAGAGTGCTACAAAATTAGCTTAAACCTACTGCCATGTAACTCAGATGAACACCAAAACTTGAAGGAAAAAAAGCTATCTGGTGTTTAAATCGAGCTTCTTCATTTGAAATATGAGGCACAAGCAATTAGCCTGCAGGGTGTGTGCGTGTGTCTGGTGAGTCTAAAAATCTATTCAGTGCTGTGACGGGTTCCATTGGGTGTACAGAGACCTCCCAGCAGGGCAGATTGGCGGTGTGCATTCGTTCCCTCAAAGGCACTCTTGACCATCTGCACACTTTGGAGTGCAGGAAGTGGCTTTTAGTACAAAAAAACCCCCAAAACCCAACACAACCCACCAAAACTTTAAAATCTAGTGAAGTAGTACCCTAGTAGGTACAGTCAATCCTTCAGACTTTAACAGGTTTGTACAATATGTCAGGGAATTGAGATCAGAAACACAGAATTTGTCCAGCTTGAATAAACAATAAGAAGCTCAGATATGAGGCTTCTGCCAGCCCAGTCACTTCTCACATGTAGTCAGCTGCGGGTACTTACAGTATTTACTGGCTGGATGTGAGTGGGAAGGAGGAAAGAGGAACTGGGATCATGAAAGCTCATCCTGTACAGAGTTACTGTGTCAAAATGTTGCTGCTGAGTTTTGTTGAACTTTTTCTGAAGTCGTAGGACAGATCAGATGTGTAGTAAAAGATGTTCTAGGTTTAGATGCAGCACAAAACATATTTGAAATCATAAAATTTTCCTTTAACACCCCTCTGTGTCACAAAAGGATTAAAAAACTTGTGGTTTTTGAGTGGTTAACAGATCTGCTACATTTGAATAATCTGCTGAAAATGGAAATCACTTTGCTTTTGCATGTGTTCACCAAGGTTGGTTTACTTATTCCTCTCTTTGGGTATTATTTTTCTTGCAAGACGACAACAAAAGAGCTATTATTGTAAGACAAAAGTTTAATGTGTTTATTACACAACCAGCAAGCTTCTGAGGATGCATAAAGTACTTAAAACTTTCATAGTATAAAGTAATTATGCTACAATAATTAAACTCTGTTAGCTTTTTTCTTTTGATCTTTATCTTTTGGATGCTCCAGAACTACATCTAATTTTCAGTAAAATGCTGATGCCAGCTTTTCAGGGGAAAAAGTAACCCAAACCCTTGTTGGTACTCTACTCCAGGGAATCACGGATATTTTATGGAGGTGAATATGTTGAGGACTTTGTGCTAATCAGCTAGTAAATGAAGGATACTGATGAAGTACCTGGTCAGAGGGTGACAGTAGCTATGTAAACATGACTATGGTGTTCATGCTGGTTTCACTGATTCAAAGTCAAACTTAGTTCACAAGCTTGTTCTTTTTTTTTTGTTTGGTGTATTTTGAAAAAGCTTTAGCTGTTACTCACTCAAACTAAGAAGTGACTGAAGAAATTTTTCCTGGTTGTCTACCACCTAGTCATTGTTTTTATAATTGTAATTTACTTAAATCCTTACATCAATACGATAATTATCTTGCTCTTCCATGATTGTTTTGGATCTTCAGGATTCACTTAAATAAGCATATGACTCACTATATGTGTGAGAAGTACATTCTTACCCAGCATACTTATCTTTATCATTCAGCTTCTGAATATAACTGAAAATTCTCACTGCCACTGAGTTAAGTTTACCTGGCAGTAAATAATTCTGTTAAACATAGGTGGCATACTTGAGTTATGCAGAAAGCATACAAAACTCCACTGGCTCTTTTCCCCATTATTTGATGTAATGACAAGCAGGAGTAACTGCTGCTTAGTTGTCTTAGTATTAGCTTGAGCAAAAGTAACTTTGCTTTTATGAACAATGTTAATCAAACTTATGTTGCAAATTGTGGATTTTTTTTATTGTAGGGAGGTGGGGGAAGAAACATGAGGCAGTTGATGCTGTGGCCTTGTGACTGTTTGAAGCCAGGATTATCTTCTTGGCTCTTAGAGTCCTAGTGAAGCATGTTTTACCTTCAGCTGTAATGTTTCTGGTTTCTATCAACACTTTTAATTAGACAAATAATTTTTTTTTATTTTAAAGCCAAGTACAGGTGGCTTTAGAAAACAACCATCACTTTTTTAATAAATACTGTGCAACTTCTGTTGAGAGACTAAAAAGGTTTTGGGTGTTCACGTAAAGAAGGAATCTAGTTAGCTGGCTAGTATTGATCAGTCGTGTGTTAGTCAAAAAGATGATAGTTGAAACAAAGTCAAGTCAGTTGCTATAAACTAACAAACTGCTTTTAAACAAGACCTACAACTCCAATGGAATGTAAACTGCAGATTGTTGTATTCATCAATAAAGGCTGATGAAGGTATATGATCAGCTGTTGGTAGTTTCCTGCTGTCTACTGATTTTTACTTGAGACTATTTAATCCATATTCTAAAACTGTGTATAATGAACAATGTTTTCTGTCTTTGGACTCAGTTGATTCAGGTTGTCTTCTGGAAACACTGCTTATAAACAACATCTAATTTGCAGTAAAGGTTTGAGGATAAACAAGATGCAAATAAAGCTAGGCTATAACTGTTGCTTTCTCCTATTGCCAGCTCTACTTACTGAGTTTAATTGTCACTTTTAAAAGTACTTCTAGCTAGTGGGTTTTCTGTTAACCTCTATTGAAGTGAAGATTGTGTTGTAGGTGATCTTATGAACAGAACAACAAAATAAATGTCTAGTAAATACAATGTGTAAAGGCAAAGGTTATAAATTACCGTCTAAACAAAAACCAGAATGTTAACACAAATATGTGAATCTAAGAAATATCAATGCTAACATTTAATCAATAACTGACAAATTTTCTTTAACAAATTCAGAAATGTTGTATTACAGACAGTCTTCCAGTTGCATACTTGAATACTAATGTCATACTGAAGAATAATAGAGCTGAGGTGTTCGTAAAAGTATGCTACACTTGCCGTATTTTCATAGTTTGTGTAAGTTCAACATGGTTCAGTGTGCCTACAGTCTGGGATTCTTCTCAAGAACAGCCTTGCATCAGTGGTTTCTTACTCGTCTTTAAGTTAGTATCAGATTTAAAGGACACAGCTTCTGTTTTATTCTTGCCTTTGGTAGAATTGCTCTATCCTTATTCGTGCCAAATAGAGGGTGAACGGAGTAAAAAAAAAATCTCATTTTTGTAGAGGGTGTGTGTTACTGTTTGTAGTACATTAGATGTAGGAAGCCTTTTCTGATTTTTAAATAGTGGCATAGTATGTTTTGTGCCTCTTTTCCAATTGATGTATGTTTTCTTTGTACAGTTTGTTGCATAATTTAAGGACCCGGATATAAGGCTTGGAAGCCCATCCCTTGTGTTTCTTGGTTTATGACTGTCGGCTTTGTGGAATACGGCTGAGATGAAAGGATTTCTTGAGGATGCAAATTACTCCATTGGCCTGTTGGATGAAGGAGCAACTCTTGCAGATGTTATTGACAACTGTATTTATGAACATACTCATGTAAGTTTTCCAAATCTTCTGGTTTAGTTCTCTAAGACTGAAACTAGGTCAAGGTATTTAGCATTGATGAGCTGACAGCAACAGAGGAACAGTCAACTAAAACTCACCTTATTAAGTGTTTTCCTGCTTTTAATCTGTTATTTCCTGCAAACTACTACTACTTTGCTGTTTGTTTGCCTTGGGATGAATTCTGTTGGGGAAATTTGGGCAACCTCCCTGAGTGTGGCTAGCAGGAAAGTAGACTTGCTGATGTAATTGAATACAGGTTCCCATCTCATTGTTTGAAGAGGTTTTTATTATTAGTGGGATTTAGACCAGGAACCTGAAATTGAGCAAGTGGATATTGCCAAGTTAGAAAC